ACAGGGATCAGACTTTGCAAGAAACATTCTTTATGTTAAAAAAAAACTGTTTACAGTTATCTAGGTCTCTTTTCAGGACATTTCCGCTCACCTTTCAAGTGAAAAATTGCATATCACTGAAAAATTTGGGATTTCTTTTTTAAATGTTCTCAAAGGACATTTGTGTCATAATGGAAATAATGGGTCTGATGCTGAAAAAGGGCTGAGTGCACCTTTAAAGAGGATTGAATGAATGTTCATCTCAAGAACAAAGAACCCTGATCAATCCGATTTATTATATCCCTGTAATAGGAACGTATGGTTATATCGCAGTATTTCAAACATGTCTAAGCTAACAAAGATTATGAGTTCACATTTTAAAGTACTTGTATGACAGCTGAAGGGAAAGAAAAAATCCTATGGCATATGTTCACATGTTTCAAAATAGTTCTCTTTTTAGGATTCATGAAAAGTTATCAGCATTATGAGTATACCATTTTAAGTCATTTACATAATTTGGTGCAATAATACACTTATAAATGTTTGGATAGTGAAAATGTTGATGGATATGAACAAATCCATACAGTATCTTCAGTATCTTTATCTATTACTTTTACATTTTATTTAAAATTTAAATTAAGATAATGATACATTTGGCCATCAATACCAACTACATATCATCTACCAACTGTTTTTTTCTATCTTTCTTTCTTTCTTGACCCTGTTGTGTACAAATGACTAAGAACATAGTATTTTGCATTGACTGACTATTGGGCTGTTAAATAGAGAGAAGATGAATAATCTTGGGTTTGTGATGTGTTTACTGATATCATGTTATTGCTAAGTCCATTAACCCATTGTAACTCTTTCACATTTCACTTCTTGGCATAACCATTATGTATGTCCATTTGTGTTACCATGTTGGTGCTAGCTGGAACACCTCAGCACAGCCATGTATGCTGTACTTTATCAAAGTGGATCATACTCGTTCACTCTGGTTAATGTTGGTTAATTTTGCCATAGACACGCTAAAAGACTTTAAGCCTTACACTGCACCTGCAAGACTGTTGCTGTCGACTGTAAAAAGGATGTCGATCTTCAGCCATGTGTTTTATTTGGACAATAAAGAAAGCAAAATTGTGTGTTTACTGACCTGACCAAAGCATCAACTGAAAGAGTGTCTTGTCATCTTAAGTTAAATGAAAACTGAGATATAGTAGCATTATACCGCAGCTGTTGTTGTTTTTTTTTCATTTGAACACTCATTCCAAAACTAAGTACAGCCACTACAAGTCTCAGCCAATGATTTTTATTTGATGTATACTGCACTCACGTGGAAACCAGCTGAATAGCAATGAGGAAGGTAAAAACATTCATATTAGATTAACTATTCCTTTACAGTTGTTTTATTAGAACCACTGTCAGTTTCAGGGGGTATGCATTTGTCTGGATTAGCTGTTAAAAATAAAATAAAATAAAATACTCCAGAAAAGATTTTGAGCACACCGGTTTAGACTAAGGTTAATTCCCCACAAACAGTGGACCAGTCGATTATGAAATATTAGCTCAAGCCTTATTACATCACATAATGTGGAACTGCAAGTATTGCAACATAGCAATAGTAATCTCAGCCATTCATTACCTCAACAATCTTAAACAAATGCATTTTATGGATTTGGATATGTATTTAAACAACATAAAGGTAATTCTTTAGGAAATAATTCTGAGGAATATTATTGCAAGGCTATTAAGAAATTATGATTATGCTCCTGCAGCCAACATTTTATATGAAGAATCCAGAAATTACCTTCCCCCCTCCTTTTCTTTATCCTATTTCATTATCCCATGAGCTTTTGCAGAGGTCACACTGGATATTTACGTAACAGAATGAACCATACAGATACAATACTTTAACTCCTGAAACTGAAACTTAGCGCTGAGCAAAGGCTTATGCTAACCAGCATTGAATTTTACAGCATCATGTGGAACATATAAAGAGATTGTGTCATTACCATACAGAGCAGTGTCTAGTCAAACATTACAGTGTGAATACAACTAGAAATTGCATAAATGAAAACTCATGATTGCGCTGACCAAGACTAGCTATACCACATTCAAGAAAATTTGGTTTTTGTTGCTTGTGAAGATTTGTTGCTATTTGTGCTATTGTGTACATTTTGTTCAGGCAAACATGTTCCCTGACAAATTAGATAGGATGAATACAGAGGGGTGCTTCCTGATAGTTAAGGGTGAAATTAATGCTGATTTAATAAATAAATGTATCATTTTATAGGCTATTATGTAATTGATATAGGCCTAATGGTAACACTTTACAATAAGGTTCATTAGTTAACATTAGTTAACTACTTTAGTTAACATGAACAATACTTCTACAGCATTTATTAATCTTAGTTAATGTTTATTTCAACATTTACTAATGCATTATCAAAATCAAAAGTTGTGCTTGTTAACATTAGTTAATGCACTGTGAATTAACATAAACTAACAATAAACGCCTGTATTTTCAGTAACTAACATGAACAAAGAAGAATAAATACTGTAATTTTACTGTATTGTGCATTGTTTGTTCATGTTAGTTAACACATTAACTAACATTAACTAATGGAACCTTATTGTAAAGTGTTACCGAAATAATATACAAATATGTACAATTATTAAACTCAAGTATTATTCTCATTATTTATCAAAGAGAGCAAAAGATGCCTGTCATATTTCCTATGTCCTCCTGTACGTTTGAAGCAAAATTATTGTACAAATTTATGAACCAAGACCTCTCGTCCAATCCGCTGAGACAAAGACTCATTTATATGCAAGTGTCATGGATTTGAACCAATAGGGTGTCAGGGGGCGTGACCATTCCCTCAACCGGTCTAATAGGTCTGTCTGCTTTTAGCTTACTCACAGTAGAATGGCGGCCGCTGTCTGCGGTCCTCGCGGCTGTCCGAGGACCAATTCAGCCAAACCACACAAAGAACACCTGCGAAAAAGCCGGGATTCCCGTCGCAGACAAGCAGCACTGTTGTTTCTCACCAATATATCTTTGGACGGACGACCGGTTTATGACCTAAGCAATGGAATCGTTGGCCCCAGGGAAGCCGAGAGCCTGTGTGTGGATGTCGGCGCGGCGGCGGCGGTGACGGGTCCCCCTCTGGCGACACCTATCAGCTACGGAACCTTCACCCAAGTGCCATCCATCAGCGAGGGAGCAGCGACCCCTCTACCGAGGACTAACACTTACCCTGGTCCTCTGAGTCCTCCTCCAGCATTTATTCAAGGGAGCTGCGACGTTTTCACGGAGGATGGACGAACAGATTCTTTGTCAGTCCAGGCACCCCCGCTTTCACCGACCTCTGGACCGCTGAATCCGTTTTCAGGATCCAGTAAATCACCCAGCCAATTCCCGGGCTCTAATCCTGTTCCTGATCCGCGCCAAAGGTGAGTTTTGTTTTTGTCATGCAGGTTGGTAAACAATGACACTCGTTATTCTCTGGCTGGCATTGTATGCACAAATTACACCATTCATAACAAATATAGAGTAAATGTGTGATGCAACCTTCATTTGTACAGGTGTCATCTGTCATTAACAATTGTGAATTTATATTTGTTTATGAAAGCTATGTTTATTCCCAAATCGTTTCACGGTTTTGTTTTTATGACACGTGAATAGAATGTTTATCTGGCCTGTTGTTTACCAGTGTTTACCTTCGATTATGACTTTTGAAGCAGTATTATAAACAGTATTACAATACGAGAAACAAAACAAAACTAACAAATCTGTAAGAGGAATGACTGACTTCCGCCTTATTGTCTAACGTTACAACTTTCATTTTCATCTTTGAAGAGAGGTATGGTTTTCTAGGCATGAGTTTGACTGGAAATATTTCTGCGACATTTTTTTGAGACCTGTAGATGAATAGGTCGGGGTGGGACTCATAAGGACTTCTGTTTTCGAATAAATAAGGGTTGCGTTTTCTTTTGCAATACTTTAAATGAAAAATGTTTGGACAAATAAATCCAAAACCATAATGTGTATCTGTTCATTCGAGAATCGGACATTTCGTGTAATTAGATCTCCGATATTTACTGTGATTCTCAATAGGAACCGACTCAATAGGAAATCGGACTACTCGGGTCGCGCCATATGTTTTGTGATTCATTAAAAGAATCGAATTATAAAAGTCATTCATTCATTCATTCATGAACCTGGCTATTTTGTGCGAATTTAAAGGACCTTGCGGTCCTCGCGGCTGTCCTAGGACTAATTCAGCCAAACCACACAAAGAACACCTGCGAAAAAGCCGGGATTCCCGTCGCAGACAAGCAGCACTGTTGTTTCTCACCAATATATCTTTGGACGGACGACCGGTTTATGACCTAAGCAATGGAATCGTTGGCCCCAGGGAAGCCGAGAGCCTGTGTGTGGATGTCGGCGCGGCGGCGGCGGTGACGGGTCCCCCTCTGGCGACACCTATCAGCTACGGAACCTTCACCCAAGTGCCATCCATCAGCGAGGGAGCAGCGACCCCTCTACCGAGGACTAACACTTACCCTGGTCCTCTGAGTCCTCCTCCAGCATTTATTCAAGGGAGCTGCGACGTTTTCACGGAGGATGGACGAACAGATTCTTTGTCAGTCCAGGCACCCCCGCTTTCACCGACCTCTGGACCGCTGAATCCGTTTTCAGGATCCAGTAAATCACCCAGCCAATTCCCGGGCTCTAATCCTGTTCCTGATCCGCGCCAAAGGTGAGTTTTGTTTTTGTCATGCAGGTTGGTAAACAATGACACTCGTTATTCTCTGGCTGGCATTGTATGCACAAATTACACCATTCATAACAAATATGGAGTAAATGTGTGATGCAACCTTCATTTGTACAGGTGTCATCTGTCATTAACAATTGTGAATTTATATTTGTTTATGAAAGCTATGTTTATTCCCAAATCGTTTCACGGTTTTGTTTTTATGACACGTGAATAGAATGTTTATCTGGCCTGTTGTTTACCAGTGTTTACCTTCGATTATGACTTTTGAAGCAGTATTATAAACAGTATTACAATACGAGAAACAAAACAAAACTAACAAATCTGTAAGAGGAATGACTGACTTCCGCCTTATTGTCTAACGTTACAACTTTCATTTTCATCTTTGAAGAGAGGTATGGTTTTCTAGGCATGAGTTTGACTGGAAATATTTCTGCGACATTTTTTTGAGACCTGTAGATGAATAGGTCGGGGTGGGACTCATAAGGACTTCTGTTTTCGAATAAATAAGGGTTGCGTTTTCTTTTGCAATACTTTAAATGAAAAATGTTTGGACAAATAAATCCAAAACCATAATGTGTATCTGTTCATTCGAGAATCGGACATTTCGTGTAATTAGATCTCCGATATTTACTGTGATTCTCAATAGGAACCGACTCAATAGGAAATCGGACTACTCGGGTCGCGCCATATGTTTTGTGATTCATTAAAAGAATCGAATTATAAAAGTCATTCATTCATTCATTCATGAACCTGGCTATTTTGTGCGAATTTAAAGGACGTAATCAAATTAAAAACCAAAGAAGTTGTACTGTCTGATTGAACAAAGTTATTAATTAATCATTAAGAGTAACAGAAATGTTTGACAGTTATATGCAGGTTAATGAGTGAGCTCTCCATCCTATTTGCCTTTGTATTTGCCTTTAAAAGTAATTTGTAACCGTGACAACAGAGACAGTGATTAGGGAAACCCATAGAACAGATGGAAGGTTTGTATGATGATAAGATATCACTGCTGTCAGAGTAGATAATAAGGGGGCTGCTGAGTCAGTCAAAGAAGTATAGCCAAGGCCATCATCAACCAGTCATAACAAGCTTTAGCTGCATGTAAACCGAGCCTCATGATCTCACTACAGTACATGTGCACATCATTTCCTTTTTGCCTTTTTTTGTTTCTTGCCTTTCATCTCTCTCCTGTTCTGTTCCCCCTCACCCTCTCATCTTTTTATGTAAGGTCTGCTGATGCACTGATGCTGGACGGGCGACCTTTAAGCCTTTATTTATAGTCAAAGGCTAAAAGATTATGCTTTTGCTTCAATTTAATCCATCACAGTTTTTCTCGAAGTGTATACAAATTGAAGTCACATGTATTTATCTCTAAATTGTATTACATTCTTTCTTGTTGCAGGACACGTAACCTCTCTGGGTCTCCAGGACCAAAGGTTTCCAAGAAGGTGCATTTCATCAAGAATATGAGACAGTATGACACTCGAGGGAGCAGGTGAGTTGGCAGGTGTGATATCGTTCGGGAAATATTTTCCCTGTGAGGAGGAGCTGTATTTGTTTTGTTATCTTTTTGAATAAATAATCTGTATATGCAAAATCAATTTAGACCAGGGGTCTTCAAGCTTTTTCGAGCTAAGGAGCCTTGGAGCACAAATAAAACGGAGTTGCTTTTTGAGCCTGGCCAATAATACGTTACCATTGTAAAATTGTATATCAAATTAATACATTACATATTCATTTCAATACCTTTTAATGAAGGAGGACAATGAAACATTACATTTTAACTTCTTAACTTTTAATTCTTTAAAATTAACTTATTAACTTAACGTAAATTTGTTGAATACCTTTTATTTTAATCTTATTTTATTTTTAGAAATGATTTCAAACAGTAATTGTTCCTCTGTTGAAGACCCCTAATTTAGGCTGATCCTTTATTAGCACTTTCTATCAATTTTAGTTTTTTGTTTGTTTGTTAATTTAAAAAACAAATAATCTTGTTTAATGCATTTATTTTATTTTATTTTAAATTTTCAGAAATTATTTTAAAATATAATTGGTCCTCTGTTAGGCTAGTCCTTTATTAGCACTTTCTTATAAATAACTTTTGTAGGATGGAGGCACTCAGATAGTCCCATGCTGGACTCATGTCAGGTAAGGTGAATATAAAAAATAGATGCTGGACTGTTTCCTCAGGCAATAAAGTTATTTGTTATATAACTGCCGTGTGCTCTCATGCTAAGTGAAACAGTGCAGCTTCAGACGGACTCTGTGATTCTTAGTTAACTTAATAACTGGCATAAGTACTCACTGAGATAATGGGGGATAGATATGTCTGCCTACACGAGGAACAACTGGGCTGAATTAAATTAATCTTGAATGGAACCTTATATAGAAATGGCATTTTCTGAAAGTAGGACTGCACCTTGGCAAGAACCATTAAAATGTAATGAAATTCAGTTACGTAAGATAAAAGCTTTCAAAAGTGTTTCCTCCCTGATTCCTTTTCTTTCTCCCTCCAACTTACTTTCCCCTTCTGGTAAAACGTGCCGTAAACCCAGTTGGCTCTTTTGACTTTTTTTTTTGCATTATAACATATGATTTATATACAACCTTATTTGGTGATGAATTGTATATGGATTGAGGAAGAAAAAAAGACCAAACACTGTGCAGATTCCCCTTTCAAAAAAAGAAGTGTTATTTTGATATGATATTGTATTTTACGCAGAATTATACACCCCTTTTCTTTTTTTACCCGACATGCATTTCATCATCAACCATGAAATCATGCCTTCACTTACATTCACCCCCAGCCTCATGACATCCGCAGTGATGTAATATAGACCCTTTGACCTCATTGAGCACATCCTGTGTCACAAGCTGCTGACCTGATAATTGTGATGTTGTTCAGCCCCCTGGGAAATGTGACGGGGTTTGTTCAAATTAGATTTGGTCCTGTTGATCAATCTGCTACGACATAGAAAGCTACATGCTGCTTTAATTTAATAATGAAGAATGGATTGACTTTTTTTTTTTTTCTTGCCGAGTTTTGTCGCCAATGTCATTCCAGGGCTATAAGATCTCCCATTTGCTTTGTGCTGCAACTTGTGACCCATATGCACTTGTTGTGGTGTAAACATGGCTGGTGTACTGATGTTGATGTTCTGTGTGCACTTGACATCTGTGTCCTGCAGGGTTGTGCTGATCTGTGCCAAGAGATCCCTGTGTGCTGCTTTCTCTGTATTGCCCTATGGAGAGAGTTATCACATCAGGTACAAAGCCACCACAGTCAGCCAAACAACTCATTTCATATCATGCAAACCCATACATGAGGGACGGACAAATCAGCTGTTCTTTTCTTTCTTTCTTTTTTTTTGTTGAAATTTGATGAAATATGATGTTCCAAATTAAATTAGCCTATTAATTTGTAATGGAAGAAAATATCTTGAGGGATTTTCACAAAGTTTAATTTAATAATGAAGAATGGATTGACTTTTTTTTTTTTTCTTGCCGAGTTTTGTCGCCAATGTCATTCCAGGGCTATAAGATCTCCCATTTGCTTTGTGCTGCAACTTGTGACCCATATGCACTTGTTGTGGTGTAAACATGGCTGGTGTACTGATGTTGATGTTCTGTGTGCACTTGACATCTGTGTCCTGCAGGGTTGTGCTGATCTGTGCCAAGAGATCCCTGTGTGCTGCTTTCTCTGTATTGCCCTATGGAGAGAGTTATCACATCAGGTACAAAGCCACCACAGTCAGCCAAACAACTAATTTCATATCATGCAAACCCATACATGAGGGACGGACAAATCAGCTGTTCTTTTCTTTCTTTCTTTTTTTTTTGTTGAAATTTGATGAAATATGATGTTCCAAATTAAATTAGCCTATTAATTTGTAATGGAAGAAAATATCTTGAGGGATTTTCACAAAGCCGGATGGTCAGTGTGAAAATTGCACTGATGTTTTCAAATAAATTATTTTCATGTACACTACTGTTAAAAAATGTGGGGTCAGTAAGATATTATTTAAAGAAATTAACACTTTTATTCAGCAAGGATGCATTCAGTTGATCAAAAGTGACCGTAAAGACATTTATAAAAGTTTTTATAAATAAATTTTCTTTTGAACTTTCTATTCACCAAAGAATCCTGAAAACAAAAACAAAGCCAGGTTTCTGCAAAAATATTTACAACTGTTTTCAACATAATAACAAAAAAAATTTTTGAGAACCAAATCAGCATATTAGAATGATTTCTGAAGGGTCATGTGACACTGAAGACTGGAGAAATGGCTGCTGAAAATTCAGCTTTGCCATCACAGGAATAAATTGCATTTCAAAATATATTAAAACAGAAAACAGTTCTTTGTAGTGATATTTCTCAATATTACTGCTTTTACTGTATTTTTTATCAAATAAATACAGCCTTGGTGAGTAAAAGAGACTTCATTCAACATTAAATTCTTACTGACACCAAACTTTTAAATTTTTCATTTTATGATCACATCAAATTTTCCATGATCTTTTAAAAAGGGATTTTGATGTAGTATGCAAATATGCTGTAATTTGCAAAACTCAGAACATCCTCCCCAGTCCAAAAAGAGCATTTTATTAAAGCTTTATTACATTTTCTGAATTGGATACATAGGATAAATGTAACCCAACAGAAAATCAGCTGCATGAGTCTTAGAGGAGCGTGAGTCTTTCACATTTGAAAAAAGGTGTTTCCTAATGGCACAGCAGAAAAAAAAGAATAATTAAAAGGGAAAATTTACATTTTTACATTTGAAAAACCTCAACGTTTTAAGTGGACATCTGGGAAAATAATTAAATAATATAAATATATGATATGGCTCCATTAATGTAAGATTTAGATGTACATACATACAGTAAATAACATGCATAATGTGTCATCCAGCTTTGTGCAGAACTCCAAGTGAGTGATTAGATTTTGGTTTGGGCAGTCCAGAGATCATAGTGATTTGTCCACCTGTCATACACCCAATCACATCATTCACATAAATATGATTTAATTTTTTTATTTAGTCAGTGTGCTTTATCACTTCTTAAAGATGTGCTGCTGTATCATTTTAAGCTTTAATATAATGACGTACTGTATTTACAAATAGACCAGCTTATAAACAGTGAACTGCAGCCTGGTGCTAGTATATTAACAGACTCTGTTTGTGTCTTTTGCACCAGACAAACAGCAATAAGACAGAGGATTCTTTGTCAATAATCTGAATAAAATAGATTATTTCAGTACAGGGAAGTGTTATTAAATTCTGATTATTAATAATTTATCTACCCTCTGCAGTGACTCTAAACTAGAAGCCCAGAGACAGAGACACTCTTCTGGTGGGGGAGTTGATATGGTCCCTGGACTGGAGGGAGTGGAGGTGGACTTTGGAAAGGTATTCCTCTAAGAAGATTGAGCAAAGACGTGATTATGTGCCTTAGAAACCTTCTTGTTTGTTTATTTGGTGTAGTATTGCTGTCTGTTTTAAAGCATCATTGTGCAAGGTGCAATACCGGGTCACTGGGTGTGTGTTTTACGCAATGCATATGTTTGTGTTTATACTGATAGCCCTGGAATGTTTTGCATTGCAGACAGTATCATATGCCCGTTTTCTGCTTCCAACTAATGCCTTGGTCAGGCAGAAGAGCAGCGGCCCACCTGACATCTGTACAGCTCAGATGCCAGTGTCTCGCAACCGTATTAACGGGCAGAAGAACTTCACCCCTTCTAGAATCAACAGCGCAGCTGGACAAGATACTTGTGTGTTACATGGTCAGATAATTATTTAAATATTATTACAATTTAAAACAACTGTTTTCTATTTTAATATATTTTAAAATGTAATTTATTCCTGTGATGGCAAAGCTGAATTTTCAGCAATCATTACTCAGTCTTCAGTGTCACATGATACTTCAGAAATCACTCTAATATGCCGATTTGCTGCCCAAGAAACATTTCTTATTATCATCAATGTTGAAAACAGTTGTGTTGCTTAATATTTTTGTGGAAACTGCATTTTCTTTCAGAATTATTTGATGAATGGAAAGTTCAATAGCACAGCATTTATTTGAAATAGACATCGTTTGTTACATTATGAATGGCTTAACTCACTTTTGATAAATATAATGCATCCTTGCTGAGCAAACATATTAATTTCTTTAAAAAACAGAAAAACAAACGTGTTTAATGTTGCAACTCTTGGTAGGTGTGGACGAACTATCAGACTATGACCCCAACTTACTCAGTGACCCCCAGTGGCCTTGTGGGAAGCACAAGCGAGTCTTAATTTTCGCATCTTATGTGGTAAGCTCCTTGATTGAACAGTTTGAACCAACACCGTTTCAATAATCTCTTCTAACATGATGCCAATGAAAAGGCTTTGCAAGGACATCTGAGTTGCACTACAGCATGATAGTGATTCATAATCCTTGAACCCAGCTTATGACCTATATCAGATCACATCAGCATGTCATGTGATTACCCTAAGGGCTACCCATAAAGGCATGAAGCATGATATCTTATGTATCACAGCTGACTAGGCTCTAGCTGTAAAAGTTGAATATTCACAGTCACCATTGTGTTTTAGCAGCCATAAAAAAAAACATAATTTTTTTTACGACACCTATAATGTGACTCTCCTTGTCCCCTCCAGACTACAGTTATTGAGTATGTGAAACCATCTGACTTGAAGAAAGACATGAATGAGACATTCAAGGAGAAGTTTCCTCACATAAAGCTGACACTCAGCAAAATCAGAAGGTAAAGTTTTTATGTAAACTAAAATGGTTAAATACCTCATTTGTTTTGCTTTAGGACCATGTCTGTTAGGAAATTTAATTGTGCATGTTTATTTCTTATATTTCTATGTGTAAACTTACCATCATCTTTAAAAACAAATCTTGCAAATCTCAAAAAGAATATGTATTTTTCATACTGTACTTTATAATGTTGAGATGCCTAAATTTGCTTTAAGGCTATTCATTTTATTTCCAATGTTTTGTTTTGTTTTTACACAATGATATTGAATTGAATATTAATATTGACCATTTTTCAGTTATCGGCTACAGTAAAAAAATTATCGACTTATTGTATCAGCCAGAAATTTACTAAGTGCATGTTAACACGGGAAAGAAATGGTGCCCATGAAGCTATTTTTATGGGGTCTTTTAGCACATAGCACTATCACAATCACATTTTAGATTTGGCTGAATGAATTAACATACAACATGGGCATCTTGTTAATTGGTCCTAATTAAGTTCACAAACTACTACTTCTCCTCTATTTAATGTCCACAACAGTTTGAAAAGGGAGATGCGCACGGTGAGCGAAGAGTGTGGCCTACAGCCGGTTACCGTAGCAATGGCTTATGTTTACTTTGAGAAGCTGGTTCTGCAAGGGAGGCTGAACAAGCACAACCGAAAGCTGGTGTCTGCTGCTTGCGTTTTATTAGCTGCCAAGATCAGCAGCGACCTCAAGAAACAAGAGGTCAAGCAGCTGATCGATGTAAGTGTCTTACTGCTTTGGATGTTCATTTAATTCAGAGACTTAACCGTTCTTTATAGGTATATGTGACCCTGGACCACAAAAGCAGTCTTAAGTCGCTGGGGTATATTTGTAGCAATAGCCAAAAATACATTGTATGGGTCAAAATTATCGATTTTTCTTTTATACCAAATATCATTAAGATATTAAGTAAAGATCATGTTCCATGACGATATTTTGTAAATTTCCTACTGTAAATATATCAAAACTTAATTTTTTATTAGTAGTTAAATAGTTTTGTGGTCCAGGGTCACATATGCTTTATGTTTTCTTGGTCATATTATTTTTTTAATATGATTTATGTACTGACTTTCCCTCTCTCTTTCACCCAACCCATTTCTTCTCTTTTTTTGATCTGCCTGATCCTGAACAGAGGTTGGAGGAGCGTTTCCGAATAAATAGCAAGGAGTTGATTTCCCTGGAGTTCACGGTTCTGGTTGCCTTGGAGATGGCACTCTACCTCCCAGACAGCAAGGTCATGCCTCACTATCGCAGACTTGTGCAGCAGGGCTGAAATGGAGAGGGCCCTTAAAGGGATAGTTCACCCAAAAAATGAAAACTCTGTCATCATTTACTCGCCCTGATATTGTTCAGAACCTGAATGCCTTTCTTTCTTTTTTTTTTTTTTTTGCAGAACACAAAATAAAATATTTTTAATAATGTTGATAACCAAACCGTTTTGGTTCCCATTGGTTTCCATTCTTGAAATATATTTAATTTAGGTTTCACTGAACAAAGTAAGTCATACAGGTTTGGAACAACATGAGGTTGAGAAAATGATGACAGAATTTTTATTTTGGGGTGAACTATCCCTTTAAGAGCTGCCTGTAGACCATACAGATGACGCTCTTGTGTTATGGCAGTTTGGGAAGGTTATTTTTATTATTTATTGATTAAATAGATAAATGGAATTTTCTCAGCATTCCATCTTCACTTGTTTATGTCCTCCATGGAACTGATTTTATAAATCAAACACATTTATGGAGAGGCTTACTTTAAAGGAACACGCCACTATTTTTGAAAATAGGCTAATTTTCCAACTCCCCTAGAGTTAAACAGTCGAGTTTTACCGTTTTCGAATCCATTCAGCCGATCTCCGGGTCTGGCGGTAGCACTTTTAGCTGAATATCGTAAATATCATTGCGCCTGCTGCACCCATGGTACGGCAGCAAAGTTCCTTGATTATTACGCTGGAATGAGAGTATAGTTCCTAGCCATATCGGCCTAGAAAATCGCAACTTTTCATTTTCCGTTGGTCTTAGTACACGATGTAACTACAGAAGAGTCAAGTTTTAAATAGGAAAAATATCGAAACTCTTTGGTCATTTTTTTAGCGAGATGCTAACAGTCAAATCAGATTCAATGATCTATGCTAAGCTACAGCTAAAAGTGCTACCGCCAGACCCAGAGATCGGCTGAATGGATTCGAAAATGGTAAAACTCATCTGTTCAACTCTAGGGGAGTTGGAAAACTAGTCTCTTTTCAAAAATGAAAAGTGTTCCTTTAAGCACTGATAATTTTTATCCATTTATTTCTTTTTATTTTTTAATACCACCGATGCTTATTAACCACCATAGATCAAAGCTTTTTCTAACTTTATTTATGCAATATTTTATTTATGGACATTAATTTTATTAGAATTCATCATTTATGAATACTGAATATATTTTTAATGTCTTTTCACATAGGTGGTTTTTTTTTCTTCCCTTTTTTATGATTTTTCGGGTATGTGTGGCATTCCGATGCGTATCCAGCCAGGCACTCTATGTTAGAGATGACATTTAACGGGCACATTGTGCTTATATCTCTCTCTCTCTCTCTCTTTTTTTAGTCATCTAACATTTACCAGCTTGGCTGTGATTTAACAGTGATGTAATGTTCTTTTAGACACACCGCAATGAATTTTAGGTAGTGTTGAATGTAAAGAAGTATTTTGAATATGTGAGTGCCATTTTAAACAGTTAATCAAATGTTTAGAAAAACTGAACTGTTTACCACTTGTCTTTTCTTATAGACATTCAAGTGTTTTTGAATGTCTTGACAGAAGTCTTAGGTTATGGTTTTCTCAGTATCAATGCACAGCTGTGACAATTACAGTGATGAAATGTTTAATTTTTTGCATCCTACTGTGTCCTATTTATCTTATGTGCAACATTGATTGAGCACGTTTCAAACAGTACAGTAGGTTTTACAAATAACTCCACATCTGTATATTAAACTGTTGTGTATTTGGTCACAGAGGAAACGCCACCTCCTATGACCGAGCGAGTCTGTTTTGTGTTGTGCAGTGTTGAATATGACCTTACCTTTCTGAGTCGTCTTGGTTAGTGTTCATACAATATCGTCTTATCTCTGATATTCTTCTTTGGAAATGTTTATACACCATAGGAGTGGCCTATGTTTACTTTCAGAACCTGGACAGTATCACAGTGTGCAGCATTACCAGAAATATGCAACATTGTTTTTACATCTGAATTTTGAATTTTTTTTTTTT